TCCTTTACCACTGTTTCGGATCAACTCTGCCACAAACCATACGCAATTTGGGCCCATTTACAACCAGCTTTAGAGTTAGCTACAAAATTAATCTCTGGACTAGATACTATCCATTTTATCAGTGACGGTCCAACCTCTCAATACCGAAATAAAATAAATTTCTTCCTTATTACGTATTTTGGAAAAATGCGTGGTTTTAAGAAACTAACATGGAATTTCTCTGAGGCAGGACATGGGAAGAGTTCTGCAGATGGAGTTGGAGGATCATTAAAAAAGATGGCTGATTTGGCTGTTTCTCATGGCAACGACATAATGTGCGCAAAAGATTTTGTCCATGTTCTTCATGCGACAAATCCACAATCAAAAATTAAACTTTTTTTAATAGAAGAAAATGAATTTGATAAATTCCAAGATGTAGTTCCATTATCATTAAAATCTATTAAGGGGACAATGCAAATTCATCAAGTGTTATGGAAATCTGACAATCCCCAGAAACTTAAATTTAAATACCTGAGTTGTTTTTGTGAAGATTGTTCTCATTATGAACTATGTGAAATAGTGTATCCTAAAAATGACAATGATGATATGATTTTAGATAAAAATTACGAAATCGAAAATGAAATCATAAATAATATACCTGTTAATTCTCTTGATGATTCTGTACTTTCAAAGGTAAGTCACAAACTGAGTATCAATATTACTTTTTGTCATAAAATTTACAGTATGTACTTTAAATATTTCTTTTCTTTGGTTTTTTAATCTTTTACAGAAAAGTAGACAAGCTTGCAGCAAGACTAGCAGAAATAAAATGTGGTGATTGGGTGGCTGTGTTTCATGATACAAACTGGTGTCCAGGGATAGTAGTAGAAACTATTAAAGATAATTTAAAAATATCTTTTATGGCTCGAGCTGGACAAAATTACTTTTGGCCAAAAAAAAATTGTATGCATATTAAAATATCCCCAAAACCCAGTTTCTAGTAGACATTTCAGTATTATGGAAAAGGCACACATTAATAGTTTATTAAAAACGTTACCTTGTTAAGACATACTGACATCTATTTTTAAGGCATCATTAAGTTTGTTTGGAGTTTTATTATTTATTTATACTTTTGATACAATTTAATACATATTTGTTTAAGAAATCAGATATTTTATTTACAACTTAACCGTTACCTTACCTTTTTTTAATCAATACCATCCCACAATTGTCATTACCGTCCTTCTTAACAAAATAAAATATATAATATTTTTTAATATAGCTTTCCCAAAATACAATTTGGTGGATTTATATAAAGTAACTACGAATTTCTCATTTGGCAGGTTTCTTCCGACTTTATCTCAAAACTTTTACAAAATATTTTGTTACCCAGTTAGAAACCAGAAGCCATTAGTACAACCTTTATGATAAACAAGTTGCAAATTTAATTAAAAACCATTATTTTTTTTACTTTCAGCGTTTTGAAAATGTAAAAATGCCAGAGAATCACTCATACGCTACTTAGGGGGGACCTAGCTCGACGCATCCGACCGCTTCGAGAGTCAAGAGCCAACTTGTTTCTTGTATCTTGTATATGGGGCAAAATTTACCAAGTGTACCAGGTGAAAAAATTTTTGTCACCGATTTTGTTTAAACTTTACTTATTTGTTGTTCTTATAACGAAGAATCATAGCATACATTTTTTTTCTCTAGGATTGTTCATTCAAGAGTTATGGATTATTGAAATTTATCGATTTTTTACTTTTTGGTGAAATCGCTTTTTATTTAAAAATTCATAACTTCTGTTCATCTCTTTATTAAATATTTCAATTTAACCACCTTAAATGATTTTTTCCGTACTTTTCAATGGGCTATACCGTTTTTGCAAAAAAATAAAAATTGCAATTTTTTTTTTAAATTTTGCAATATTTTGCATTTTTTGAAACAATGTGTATTTTTTAATTTTTTTTTAAATAGCATAAAATCTAAGTTTATTATGTTACCTTTGAATAAAAAAAAATTTAGAGTGGGCCCGACATGTAGAAGGGAAGTTTTTCATATTTGAATGCCGCACGGTCTAGCCATCGAATAGCTACTACACTGCCGTATGCGTTTATACCTAGTAGATGCGAGTAAACGAATACAAAATGATAATTTAAAATGTAAAATTATGTTTGAGTAGTCAATGATGTATTTTAAAGATTTACACTGCCGCACGATATAGTTTTTTAACTGTATTTTTTTGCACAAATTGTTTAAGCATATATGCTATAGGTCTTCATAGATTTCGCAAGGAGGATCGATGATATTAAATAAAAAATTTATTGTTATAACCGTAACGGCTTGCCTATAAGCTGAATGGCGCCTTTACGGTTTTAACAATACATTTTTTATTTAATATCATCGACCCTCCTTGCGAAATCTATGTAGACCCATGCTTAAACAATTTGTGCAAAAAAATACAGTTTATATACAAAAGTGCTCTTTTAGTTCCACCCTTACTTCTTAAGAAGTCCCATAAGCCAACTGAATGGCTTGTGCGGGTTAGGGGTAGGAACGGACCGCGGGCTTAAAGTCCCCTCCGAAGGACTAATACACAATAAAAAAACTATATCGTGCGGCAGTGTAAATATTTAAAATACATCAATGACTACTCAAACATAATTTTACATTTTAAATTATCATTTTGTATTCGTTTACTCGCATCTACTAGGTATAAACGCATACGGCAGTGTAGTAGCTATTCGATGGCTAGACCGTGCGGCATTCAAATATGAAAAACTTCCCTTCTACATGTCGGGCCCACTCTAAATTTTTTTTTATTCAAAGGTGACATAATAAACTTGGATTTTATGCTATTTTAAATAAAATTAAAAAATACACATTGTTTCAAAAAATGCAAAATTTTGCAAAATTTCAAAAAAAAATTGCAATTTTTATTTTTTTGCAAAAACAGTATAGCCCATTGAAAAGTACGGAAAAAATCATTTAAGGTGGTTAAATTGAAATATTTAATAAAGAGATGAACAGAAATTATGAATTTTTAAATAAAAAGCGATTTCACGAAAAAGTAAAAAATCGATAAATTTCAATAATCCATAACTCTTGAATGAACAATCCTAGAGCAAAAAAAAATTATGCTATGATTCTTCGTTATAAGAACAACAAATAAGTAAAGTTTAAACAAAATCGGTGACAAAAATTTTTTCACCTGATACACTTGGCAAATTTTGCCCCATATACAAATTTTCTTTTGAATTTTAAATTTTAGGAATTTCGATTTTTCCATTTTCAGACTTTGTAAAGTTAAAAATATTTTTGTATTTGGACCATCCAACAACTAAAGTTATTTAAAAAATTGTTTAAGCAATTATCTAAATCCAAAAGGTATGAGACATTCAAAATTAATAAATCATCATTAAAAAAGAGAAAAAAAATGTAAATTTGTACGCAGAAAAAAAACGTAAATTTATGGGACATTTTGCCAAATTAACAGTTTACGTGTCCAATAAAAATAAATTTTATAATTGTTAAAATTATGTCTCGAAAGTTTCACCATCCCCGCAATCCTCATACTTGTACCTACTTATAATGTACTGAAATAAATGATCACAAAATTAACAATTATTTTAAGATTAAAAATTAATTAATTAAACATGTAAAGTATATAACATATCCACAATCTAATATGGATAAAAAAATTGTATTCGCATAAAGATTAAAAAGAAAAAAGAATATTTAAAAAAAATACAAACGGTGTAGAAAGTGAATAAAAATAAAAGCTAACAAGCTTTGAAGAAAAAAAATCAACCCTGTCGCAGGTATGACACAATATAAAAAATATGTTTCTCAAGTAGGTTTTTCAAGACGAACCAAAATATAGTTGCAAAGTAACAAAAATCATATTTTCGAAAATAATTGATGAATCAGGCTTAAATTGAAAAAAAGTGTTGTGAGTTAAGGACACCATGGAAAAATTGCCGACGAATTTTAAAATGGCAAGGGTTTTTTTGTGTCGAATTCACGTGGAATCCCACAGGAACCCTATTCTTGACTGCGAGAGAAAATATCCGCCGGAGAGCTCTCCCTGTAATAGAACGAACATTCACATTCCCGAAATTTTCTCTCGGTATGCCAAAGTCGTATTCTCGACGGATTACCAAGAGAAGCATGTTACCACATTTGAAATGTGATTAATAACCTAGATGTAAATAGTTTTTTGTTCCAAATTCAAAGAGTTTTTGTGTATTAATTATTACTAGTCAAAATGGAACGAAAAGTGTCCGATATTCTAAGACAAAAAGAAATTTTATTAGACTTCTTAAAAAGCTACCCTCAACGGCAATTTTGCAGAATTTACAAAAAAAGAGGCACAGGCATTATGGCAGGAACTTGCCATAACATTAAATAGTGTCCCTAAGCATAAACACTAATACTAATACCACAGAATAAACCATAAATAAATTAGGTTAGGTATTTTACTAACATTCACAAAATGTCAAATTTACTCTCGGGAATCTGGAATTCTACTACAAATCAGTAGTAGAAGTGGATTCGCCCGATAATGCATGTAGATGTTTTCGAGAGAACTCCGTCCATTTCTATTACAAATTTCTACTCCTACGAACTCGAGAATAGGCATCCAGGTATAAACTAGGAATTTAAATGGACCCTCTTTTCCAGCGCATTCCGGTTCCTTTTACTTTTGGTCTTGGTGGCTGCTTTTCTCGCGATTTTAGCTGACTTTTTTGCTTACTTTGTTTTCGAAAGCCCTTTTGCCACGCCGACTTCAAAATCTCGATAAAAATCGAAATTATCGTCAAAACTCATCAGATTTATGTTCACTTAAGGAGGCACTTACCTGATATTCTGAAATTAATATATTATATTGACGCGACAAAAAAATCTATAACCTTGAAAACGCGTGTTTTAGGAATGCTATGACATACATGAGCATTGTCTAACACTATACACCTACCAAAGCAAGGGCAAGCAATTTCATTCATTTAGTCACTACTTACTGATATTGGCCAGTGGACAAGTTTTCTTTAATGTGCTCCCAAATTTTGGGATTTCCAGCATCCTCCTTGCTTTCATTTAAAAATGAAGATATTGCTGCTACCACCAAGGGATGACCCTTACAAATGTGATAAATATCTCTTGCATGATCTTCTATTTCTTCCGTGTTGCCCAAACAATAAAACATTTCTAAAGTCTCCTTTTCCGTGAATGCTGCCTTTACCTAAAATAAAAGTTAAACCTGTTTTTTATAAAATATATTTTAGTTCTTACCTCCACAAATGTGCCCATTCCGATTGGAACGATGTTTTTATTTTTCGTTGTTATGACCGTTTTACAGCCAAAATCAAAGTGTGAAATAAGTTGATCATTTCCAGCATCATCCAAAATAAGCAGGGAATTCTGCATTTCAAACCTCAAAAAAAGTTCTTTTACATGCTTTTTAAGAAATTCCAGATCCTCAGGACAGTGTGAAAGAGGCGGTTCTTTTACAGCTGATATTACACAGGAATATAGTCTAAAATAAGGTATTATGGCATTTTTAATTCCTTTTATTTGATTAATTTTACCTCCACATGGTAGATAGAATGTTGTCTAAATTTTTTTGGTGTTCTCCTAGGTTCACCCAAAACAATTTAAAGTCGAAGTAATTTTTTACTATGCCTACGTCATTTAAAATTTGATTTACCAAAAACGACTTTCCACACCCCATCATACCATAAACCACCAGTTTGTCACGTGGCATTAGGTTTTTAAGTTTATTTGTTAGAGTTTCGGTCTAAAAATTTAAAAATACATAAACAAATCAAATTGTGAATCATAAATATTGTTTTGGTCAGATTATGTTTTGTAGGTTTAATTTGCATAATTAGAATTGACCTTCAATGATGAAAAAAATAAGGTGCTTGAACTTGAGGTGATAATTAAAAGTAACCACTATTGTGTTTAATAATACTATTTAAACTAAAATGTATGTTATTATTACATGGAAATACATGTATATTGAAATTGAATAATTTGTCTTTTAGAATTACTACAAATTGGTTTAAAAATTTGTTAAATTTTTACATAAACTAATTATAAATCAGATTTATAAAAATAGTTTTCAGATTTGATTTTTTATTTTAATTAACAATATTGTCTTAAAGCAAAAATATCCAGGGACTCTTTTTAGTTGCGAATTTAAAACAATATAAAACAAACATACCGTTAAAAATACGACTTTTGCAATCAATTTTTTCCTTAAAAATAACTTCTATAAATTCTCTCGGTAGCGTGACGTCGTGATGTAATATTAATGGTATATTGGTAAGTATAATAGTCGTGTCAAGTTTTACGAATAAAATAAAAATCCGAACATAAATATTATAAAACCATTAAGTGTGCATATTTTGAAATAAAATTAAATACAAAATATACGTATTTAAGGCAACAATAACAATATAAACGTTTATTTATTATCATACTATTTCAAAATGCAATTGTCAGTTTTGCATCTATTTAACTAATTTTTAAGCTAGGCATTTTGTCCTACATTCGTCACAATAAAAATATCATCTAAATATTAAAAAACAATTATATTATCTTGTTGTAATTAAAAGGAGCTTTAATAGGTTACAATTTGTTTTTGTTAAATTTTACATATAGGTCAGGTCTGTGGAATGGCCTATCAAGTAAAATGTTTATTTTCAAAATTGGAAGCAATATAAAAAGTTAAAAAACACTTGTACAACAAAAACATTATTTCAACAAAAAAATAGCAATCTGACGATATACCACCAAAAAAATGATACCCGTGACCCGTGCGATCGAATAAAATAATATTCACGGTGTTTGGCACATAATATAACAGCTATGCTGTATAGTTTTTAAAACAACTTTTTTTTTACTAAATAAATGGACAACCATTAAAGCTACATTTTGAAATTATTCAAATTTTATACAGGGTGTTGCACATTTACGAAATATATAAAGTGATGTTTTTTAGGTTGTGACCACTATTATAGATTCTAAAGCAATGTATAATCGCCAAACTAAAAGAACAAGATTTTTCCCACCATATATTAAATATAAGATTTATCTTTTTTTATTAAAAAAATCAAAAATTAAAAATAGAAACTATAATTTTTTATTTAAAATAAATTAAAATTATTATTATTTTTAAGTTTAGTTTTTGTATTATGTAAAAACAGACAATGTTTAAAAAAAATATAAGAAAATAGAAAACTAAATATGTTAAAATAATAAGAATGACTGTATACAAAATTTAAATGACGTGATTTTGTGAAAAGGTGAAACACGGGTTCGTTTTATTAACCTATATTTTCAAAATCTGTTAAAATTTTTCATGGGAGGGAAATCGTGTTAAACTGTGTAATTTGACCCTTTTAATATCACTTTTATCTATGGAATGACATATATTCCGTAAAGTGTTACAGAATGAAATATCTGATGACAGAATAAACACTCGTGGCGACATCTCTGTTTTTAATATCTACAAATTTTAGACCGATCCAACCTCACTTTCTTCCAATTAAATTATTTTCTATGGTATGTTTTGTAAACGTAGAAAAAGTATAGTCTGAAACACGTTTGGAATTGCATATTCCGCTCTCGTGAAACCGTCAAACTCGCCTTCGGCTCGTGTGACAAACTCTTCACCCGAGCGAAATATGTATATAATATATATTCCAATATGTATTCCAAACTTGTTACAGAATATACTATTTTAATAAATTGTATAAAAAAACATTTAACAATAATAAACACACAAAATGATATTTTAGATTTTATATTGACATGTTTATAAGAGCAAGAATTTGGCAACGTCGTATTTTCATATATAAATATTAATATGTAGATGGTTTTTAATTAACCATTTTGTTTGTTTTCTGTTGTATACGAATTGTTTTGGCATTTCTTTTTCATTGAGTTTACGAGATTTTTAGTGACATAATATGCCACTTTTTGGTTTTTATAAAGCCAAACCACAGACATTTATGTAAGCTTAACCTAGGCGATGCAAGCAAATGATATAAAAAAATGATATAACCTTAATTTTATCTGTTTGACAATTCGTATCATCCGTGGACGTATTAATATGTCTATAGTATCATATGTTTTAAATCCCCCACTTATGAACTGACTAGGTCATCTTTACAAAATATAGCGAATATACTGCATGTGTAAAAGTAATAGTCCCGCCCGTTACGCTTTAAATTATTAATTTTTAAGGAATTAAACAGTCAATCACGATACCTAATTTTGCCAAATAAAAACCTTGTTAAATAGCTTTTGTTTAGAACTATTGGTTTTTATAAAGCCAAACCACAGACATTTATGTAAGCTTAACCTAGGCGATTCAAGCAAATGATATAAAAAAAATGATATAACCTTAATTTTATCTGTTTGACAATTCGTATCATCCGTGGACGTATTAATATGTCTATAGTATCATATGTTTTAAATCCCCCACTTATGAACTGACTAGGTCATCTTTACAAAATATAGCGAATATACTGCATGTGTAAAAGTAATAGTCCCGCCCGTTACGCTTTAAATTATTAATTTTTAAGGAATTAAACAGTCAATCACGATACCTAATTTTGCCAAATAAAAATCTTGTTAAACAGCTTTTGTTTAGAACTATTTATAAAAATTTGACATTGGTAATATAATAGAACAATATTATTTTGTAAATAAAAACACGGCAACTGTCCTATACGTTAAGCGTGGAATGGCCCAGTGCATACCACACAATATTTTGTGCACAAAATAGTATATTCTGTAACAAGTTTGGAATATGGCATATTCAAATTAAGTGAAAAGTTTGTCACAAGAGCCAAAGGCAAGTTTGACGGTTTCACTAGAGCGGAATCCGGTGCTATGATAATGGTCAAAAGATAAAAAGTAAAAAAAAAAGTAGACCCCGCCGCCACAGTCTGAAGTCAATAAAAGTGCGATAAATAGGATTGCGAAACAAAACACAAAACAATTTTTTTGTCCATGGCCTTCTGACAAAAAACAAAAACAAATTTTAAAAAAGTACAAAGAAGTGACCGTCCCCACGTGTCAAACTATCTCCATACCAAATTTCATCAGAATCGATTCAGCAGTTTAGGCGTGAGAGCAAAGAAATAAAGTCGGAAAGACTATAATATGTATGGATGCGAGGGGTAAACCACTCTTAAATCAGCGAAACAACGCTCAGCGTTATATGGATGTTATGCTCTGATTTTTCCTTATCCTACGCTTACCGATAAGGATCTCATCCTTATTAATAATAAATTTCTCTTAAAAATTAGTGGTTTACCCCTTGATGGATCCATTTTAATATTATAACACTTATCCAATGGATAATATCCATGGATGAGTGTTATAATATTAAAATTATTATTATTATAAGCTTGAAAAAAAATTGTTTATAGCTAAAAGACAATTGCTTAATAAACTTATTATATTCATATTGGGTCATTACAATTACTCAAAATAATACAAACGTAAAAATTATTGATTTCATATAAAAAATTACCACATATAAAATTTACCACCCTATATTATTTTGAGTTGAGGCTTTATAATTGAATCGGTGAGATTAAGAACAGTAGTAATTTTGAGAAAATATTTTATAAATTCAGTTTCATACTTTTTTTTGTGAGAATAGTCAAGTATTTTATAAAACATCATAATTATATTTTAAATTGATATTAGAAAATTGTTTGTCAAATTAAAATTTTGTAGTTACTGTTCTTAATCTCACTGATTCAATTGTGTTCTCCATTTTAAAATTGCATGCCTTTTAAGAACACAAGCTATCTTTACAATGTAAAGTTTACATTTATATTAAATATTTGATTTAACAAAAAATTTACAAACCATTTGTTTCCATTCCTTTATTGCAGCATTAAAATAAAATTATCACAAATAATTATTAAATATAAATTATTATTATTACTGTCATAATTATATATAAATTATAATTTATTTATAATATATAATTAATAATAATATAATACATTATTTTAAATAGGTATACAATATAAAAATACAATGTAAATATGAGCAAAATATTTATATCAAATATTAAAGTAGGATTCCAGGTAAAAACTACAGTATCATAGTTTTCGTCCTGAATTTATGAAATCTATGACTAATGCATATAAAAATATAATAGTAAACAACAGCAATAATGCAAGTTTATAATAGGGTGGATTAAGATTTATTGCCTCGATTAGTTTGCTCATGAATTTGTCCTTAACATTTTGTAAAACAATAACTTCTATTACAATTAAAATTTTGAAAATGTAGGAACAAATTAGATTTTGAAAGTACATATATATTAAATTTAACAATGTATGTAAAAATATTTGTAAAAAAAGGATGGTTAAAGTAATACTTAGTAGGTATACCTACTGAGTATTAAGAAATAGTTAAAAATTCTGGTTATAAGTAGGTGGTATGGTAATCATATTAATTTTATTGGATTTTTTTTATCAGTGGATGTGGTTATAACAAAAAATGGTTAGAGAAATTTCTCTAATCATTTTTTGTTATTTATAAGCAAAAAAATATAATAATAATCTAACTAAAAGTATTAATAAAAAAATGCACTTACATCACTACTTCGTTTAACAGAATTCTTTGCCAGTTTAGGAAATCCACCTCGTACAAGAGCTTCATGGTAATCATGTTTATCTTGCTCAATTTGCTCAATATTAGGATGTTTCTCATTTAAATATTTCAACAAATTATTTTCAACATTAGAACCAGCTTTATTTATAAAATCGATAACATAATTTAATCTATCTTCTGGGTCCTGAAACAAAGAACATAAACATAACCTAAAACTTCTTGCACTTAATTTCAGGTCATACCTTAGACCAGAGGTATTTGTACTCTGATGGATAAAGTATTTTATTAGCAATAAGATGGTCAATTAATTCATCCAAGTTAAGTACTGTTCGAAAACTATTTATAGTTATAATATGGGGTGCCATTAGATATACAATTATAAGACATTAATATATCATGAAAAAGGCATTTTTTGAAGTTTAAAATAATTCTGCACACAACTTTCTACTCTATAGCATCTACCCATTCAAATTAAAATAAATATTAATTGCACTAATAACACCAAGGGATCTAAACACCAACCAACCAACTGAATTTGTTTGAAGTTTGTTTGACAGCATGAAAATAGACGCGTTCGACGTTGCCTGTTTTATGTCATCATTGTTCCTTTTAACTTTATTTGCAATCTTTGTTTAGATTTTAGAATGCTAATACGTGCATTTTTATGATAAGAAAATAGTTTAATTAATTATTTATCATTTGAACACTGCATTAAATAAATATTTAATAATAACTTTATGAAGTCAGAAATTTGGCAACAATGGATTGGAAAATGACTCAACTGCTGCTGCGCTTTGTCATAAATCCAAGACAGGTAAACCTTGTTCAAAATTCTAAGGTCTAATAAAATTGGATTCTGTTAGTTGGTACTATAGATTAATTAATTAAATAATTAATTCTTAATCTATGGTTGGTACCCAGAGCTGGGAAAGTTACTTTAAACAAAATAAATTAGTTACAATTGTAACTTTAAAAAGTATCCAAGATACTATCCGAAAGTATCTAAGATACTTTTGAGTTAGGTACTAAGATACTTTTATGTGTGAATAAAAACTATAAAATTATGAAAATTCATCAAGTTGTAGGTTATGTAATTACTTTGAATCATTCTGGAATTCCCCCAATTTTCTCTAAGAAAGTATCTAAGTTACACTGAAAAGTTTCTTAAGTTACTTTAAAAAGTATTTTAGTTACCTACTTTAAAAAGAATCTTATAACTATAGTTACTTTAAAGTATCTAAGTTACTTGAATGTATTTTAGTTACTTTACCGAGTAACTTAAGTTAGATACCCCTGCTGAAAATGACGGATGATTGCGGATATAAATTCTTCGTCAAAACCGGATAAAAGCAGATGATTGCGGGTATAAATTCTTCGTCAAAGCCGGATAAAAGCAGATAAAAGCGGGTAAAAATATCATCTGATAACATCTGCTTTTGTCCGCATCGCTATATCTGCGAACAACCGTCTTCGCTGTGTTTCGTTTATATCTGAATTTGTCCGGAATCATCTGCAAACGTCTGCTTACGTCTGTTTTTATCCGCGATTACCTGCATTTTTTTTCGTCTATTTTTGTCGGGTTTTATCTGCAAACGTCTGGTTTTATCCGCGAGCATATGCTTTTACCCGCGAACATCTGCAATCATCCGCGAACATCGGCTTTCATCCGCGAACATCTGATTTTATCCCCAACATCTGCTTTTATCCGCGAACATCTGCTTTCATCCGCGAACATCTGCAGTCACCCGCGAACAACTGCTTTTATCCGCGAACATCTGCAATCACCCGCGAACATCTGCAATCATCCGCGAACATCTGCTTTCATCCGCAAACGTCTGGTTTTATCCGCAAACATCTGCTTTCATACGGTTTCACCCACAAACATGCTTTTATCTGCGAACGCCTGATTTCATCCGGTTAGTGCACCCCCGCAAACATCTGGTTTTATCCGCGAACATCTGCTTTCATCCGCGAACATCTCATTTTATCCGCGAACATCTGCAATCATCCGCGAACATCTGCTTTCATCCGCAAACATCTCATTTTATGCGCGAACATCTGCTTTTATCCTCAAACATCTGCTTTTATCCGCAAACATCTGCTTTCATCCGCGAACATCTGCAGTCACCCGCGAACAACTGCTTTTATCCAAGAAAATCAGCAATCTCCCGCGAACATCTGCAATCACCCGCAAACATCTGCTTTCATCCGCAAACATCTCATTTTATCCGCGAACATCTGCTTTTATCCTCAAACATCTGCTTTTATCCGCAAAGATCTGCTTTTATCCGCGAACATCTGCAGTCACCCGCGAACAACTGCTTTTATCCGAGAAAATCTGCAATCTCCCGCGAACATCTGCAATCACCCGCAAACATCTACTTTTATCCGCAAACATCTGCTTTCATCTGCAATCATCCGCGAACATCTGCTTTTATCCGCAAACATCTCATTTTATCCGCGAACATCTGCTTTTATCCGCAAACATCTGCTTTTATCCCCAAACATTTGCTTTTATCCGCAAACATACAAGGCCGGATTAAGCTTTCGTTGGGCCCGGGGCTAATAAAAATTTAGGGGCCCTTTGTAGATAAAATGCAAACAATATTTTAAAAAACTATATTCCTGATGTAACAAAAACACTATTACTACTACACTGAAATTGTTCGGCTGAAATTTTTTCAAAGCGGGGCCCTACTGAATCGCGGGGCCCAGGGCTTCAGCCCCTTTAGCCCCCCCCTTAATCCAGGCTTGCAAACATCTCATTTTATCCGCAAACATCTGCTTTCATACGATTTTACCCGTAAATATGCTTTTATGTGCGAATGCCTTATTTCATCCGGTTAGTGCACCCCCGCAAACATCTGCCTTTATCCGCAAACATCTGATTTTATCTGCAAACATCTGCTTTTATTCGCAAACATCTGATTTTATCCACAAACAACTGATTTTATTAGCAAACATCTGATTTTATCCGCAAACATCTGCTTTTATCCGCAAACATCTGCTTTTATCCGCAAACATCTGATTTTATACGCAAACATCTGATTTTATCCGCAAACATCTGCTTTTATCCTCAAACATCTGATTTTATCCACAAACATCTGTTTTAATCCGCAAACATCTGATTTTATACGCAAACATCTGCTTTTATCCGCAAACATCTGCTTTTATCCGCAAACATCTGATTTTATCCGCAAACATCTATTTTAATCTGCAAACATCTGCTTTTATCCGCAAACATCTGATTTTATCTGAAAACATATGCTTTTATCCGCAAACATCTGATTTTATCCGCAAACATCTGCTTTTATCCGCAAACATCTGATTCTATCCGCAAACATCTGCTTTTATCCGCAAACATCTGCTTTTATCCGCAAACATCTGATTTTATCCGCAAACATCTGATTTTAATCGCAAACATCTGATTTTATCCGCAAAGATCTGCATTTATCCGCAAATATCTGCTTTTATCCGCGAACATCTGCAAACATCTGCTTTAATTGCAAACCTCTGCTTTCACCCGCGTTCGGTTTGCCTGCATTTCCTTTGTTCATTTCGGTCCTGTTTCGTACGCAAACGTCTGGTTTCATTCGCGCTTTTTGTTTTATTTTTTCTCGTGTATACTTTAGTTTAGTTTATCTGCTTTGTCAAATTTTACTGAGCTTTAACTAACTGGTTGTTCACGGCACACAACTTTATAACTCTAAAAGGAATTATTTGAATAAAAACAACCTCTAAAGGAAATAAGTTTATTCAACACTACATTTTCCCAATGGGAAAATAATTTAATTATATTCACCAGATTTAAATTTAAAAATCAGGTATACTATAGTGAAGAGTACCACAGATATAGTCTATTAATTCTTACATAATATGTATATTATATATTAAAAATATTGGTTATGCTAAAATTAAAAAAATTATAAAGTTAGATGAAAAATTCTGCCGAAATAAGTGTTTTTCAAACAAATTCCATACAAATTGAAGATGTTACAAATGTATTTGAAATTAAACATATATGTTTTCTAACAATTAATTTAAATGTAAGATTAATGATTAAAAAATGTCTATTTATTTAAGACCTTATTTGTATTTTACCAAATAATATTGAAGTTCAATAAACTTATTTCCTTTACAGGTTGTTTTTATTCAAATAATTCCTTAGAGTTATAAAGTTGTGTTCCGTGAACGGCTAACAACCAGTTAGTTAAAGCTTAGTAAAATTTGACAAAGCAGGTAAACTAAAGTAACTATACAGGAGAGGAAAACAAAAAGCGCGAATGAAACCAGACGTTTGCGTACGAAACAGGACCGAAATGGACAAAGGAAATGCAGGCAAACCGAACGCGGATGAAAGCAGAGGTTTGCAGTTAAAAGCAGATGTTTGCAGATGTTCGCGGATAAAAGCAGATATTTGCGGATAAATGCAGATGTTTGCGGATAAAATCAGATGTTCGCGGATAAAAGCAGATGTTTGCGGATAAAAGCAGATGTTTGCGGATAACATCAGATGTTTGCCGATAAAATCAGATGTTTGCGGATAAAAGCAGACATTTGCAGATTAAAATAGATGTTTGCGTATAAAATCAGATGTTTGCGTATAAAATCAGATTTTTGCGGATTAAAACAGATGTTTGTGGATAAAATCAGATGTTTGCGGATAAAAGCAGATGTTTGCGGATAAAATCAGATGTTTGCGTATAAAATCAGATGTTTGCGGATAAAAGCAGATGTTTGGAGATTAAAACAGATGTTTGCGGATAAAAGCAGATGTTTGCGGATAAAATCAGATGTTTGCGAATAAAATCAGTTGTTTGTGGATAAAATCAGATGTTTGCGGATAAAAGCAGATGTTTGCGGATAAAATCAGATGTTTGCGAATAAAATCAGATGTTTGCGTATAAAATCAGATGTTTGCGGATAAAAGCAGATGTTTGCGGATGAAAGCAGATGTTTTCGGATAAAATCAGATGTTTGCGTATAAAATCAGATGTTTGCGGATAAAATCAGATGTTTGCGGATAAAATCAGATGTTCGCGGATAAAACCAGATGTTTACGGATAAATGCAGATGTTTGCGGATAACATCAGATGTTTGCAGATAAAATCATCTGTTTGCGGATAAAATCAGACATTTGCAGATTAAAATAGATGTTTGCGGATAAAAGCAGATGTTTGGAGATTAAAACAGATGTTTGCGGATAAAAGCAGATGTTTGCAGGTGAAATCTTATGAATATATATATATATATATATTAAAAATATTGGTTATGCTAAAATTAAAAGATTTATAAAGTTAGATGAAAAATTCTACGCCGAAATAAGTGTTTTTCAAACAAATTCCATTTAAATTGAAGATGTTATAATTCCAAATGTATTTGAAATTAAACATATATGTTTTCTAACAATTAATTTAAATGTAAGCTTAATGATTAAAAAAAGACCCTATTTGTATTTTACCAAATAATATTGAAGTACAATAAACTTATTTCCTTTACAGGTTGTTTTTATTCAAATAATTCCTTAGAGTTATAAAGTTGTGTTCCGTGAACGGCTAACAACCA